CCAGGGTTTTTTCCCCCCCGGGCCGGCCCTCCTCCCGGCCAGTCCTGCTTCCTGCTGGCCGGTTTCTCCCCCCACCCCATCTCCTCCAGCCAGCCCTGCTCTCCTCCTGGCTTGTTCCCCTCCTCCGCCTCCCAGTCTGAGATCAAGTGTGTCTGGTATTTTTTTTTTTCTTTAAACCATCTGGTAATCCTATGGGTGTTCCTAAACCCTGGACTGCCAGAAGCTGGCATTAGATGGCAAGGAATGATAACTGTGCTGTTCTGTTCATTTTTTCTGAAGCATCAGGTACCTGCCACTGTCAGAAGAAAAGATCTTGGGTTAGATGAACCTTTGGTCTGTTAGTCCTCAGGATATTTGGATCTATTCGTCTTGCAATATTTTATCATAGCTATTACCCAACCATTCAGTGTTGCCCAGAACTCCTGGCCACTGCCACAGCAGCGGTGGTGGCTGGAGCCCCAGGCCCATTAAATTGCTGCTGAAATGCTGTGCATTTGGAGCAGCTCTGATTTTTGGAGTGGAAGGATGCCACAATCTGGGCAGCACTCAGGACTGCCTGCTCCCAGCCCCACCCCTTATGCCCAAGGCCCCACCCCTTCTAGGAGCAAGGAGTTGAATCCCCACACACACCTTGTACAGGGCCCACAGAAACTGTCAGCTCCTTTGATAGTGGGGAAATTGGAAAGAATGATCACAACCCAAATGCAGAGTGATAAAACGCTTAACGTAGTGTAACCCTCTTTTTCCTCCCTGGGTTACTCGGGAGTAGGTCACACTCACAGGTGTGCCTGGGCGCCTTATGGTTTTAACATAAAAGGAGATCCTGAGTGCCTCAGTGGTGGTGATGTTTAGTTGAGGAAAACCCTATCCACCCCCTTGCTGCTGTCCCTTGCTCATAAAGAACATACAATGGCACTGCCGCCACCTGGCTGGCCCTGTACACACTTAATGGTGTGCCTTGGGAGCCTCCAGGAAAAATGATTCCAGCAATAATCTGGATCTAACTCTAGAACAACAATTACAAATCATAAATAAATACATCTAATAGATTACATTAGAATGAACAACATTTACTTAACAACTTAAAGAAACCGGGTTCAACAGATCAACAGTGAATAACATTTACAAAGTACACAGCAATAATAGGAAACTTATCTATCATGTGCACTGCCACCATTTACCCCACACCTCAGACCTCACAATACCATACACTTGCTTGCATGGGCGCGCTTGAAGATTTTGCAGCTGGAGTGGATGGTTCTAGTCTCCTTCTGTGTGCTGGATGCAGAGGAGCTTCTAGCCACAGGTACAGCCAAAGAGCAATCAGAAGCAGCCTGCTAGATTCCAGTCCCATAGGCTCTTAGTCCAAGTCTGTAGCTGTACTCTAACAGCTCCTGGACTGGATTAAACTCCTCCATAGCAGCCTGGCTCCCTTTCTGCTCCAAAAACAGAGGAAAGAGTCCACAGACTGCTGGGCCTCTCCTCACACACATGGAGAGACCCAGGATCCAAACGGAGTCATTTCCTTCCTGCTTTCCTCCAGGGCTCATGGGAATTGTAGTCTCTTGGGCTAGATTTCAGCACACAAGATCTTCCCAGAGAATAAGCAGAGGCACCTTTACTAAGGGGACTACATAGTAAAACTCTTGCTGCATTTTTTTAATAATTCTTGCATGTCCTCCCATAGTCTACAACAGGAACTGACATTCTAATGATTTCACTGAGACTGGGAAATGATACAATTCAACCCATTTTTGCTGCACTCTGAGTTTTCAGAATGTGATTGTGATACAAGGTCATTAAATAATGTTCTTGCTAGTTGACTCTGTGTGGCTACGTCTACACTGGCCCGTTTTCCGGAAGGGGCATGTAAATTTCAGCTATCGTAGTAGGGAAATGCGCGGGGGATTTAAATATCCCCCGCGGCATTTAAATAAAAATGTCCGCCGCTTTTTTCCGGCTTTTAGAAAAGCCGGAAAAGAGTGTCTACACTGGCCCCGATCCTCCGGAAAAAGCGCCCTTTTCCGGAGGCTCTTATTCCTACTCTGACTTCATCGTAGTAGGGAAATCCGCGGGGGTAGGAATAAGTCCACTTTGAAGTAGGAATAAGAGCCTCCGGAAAAGGGCGCTTTTTCCGGAGGATCGGGGCCAGTGTAGACGCTCTTTTCCGGCTTTTCTAAAAGCCGGAAAAAAGCGGCGGACATTTTTATTTAAATGCCGCGGGGGATATTTAAATCCCCCGCGGATTTCCCTACTACGATAGCTGAAATTTACATGCCCCTTCCGGAAAAGGGGCCAGTGTAGACGAGCCCTGTATGTATTAAATCAATGGCACAGAACAATTTTGGCTTCCCAGAAATATAAAGGACTTTTGAACTTTAAGACATCTGCAGACTATCTTAATTTATCCAGGAATGTGTATGATGGGAATATTTGCAATCTTGTTATAAGAAGCTATAAAGTAGAATAGATTATGCTATATATAATGAACAGAAAACCTGCCATCTCCAGTCATCTTCTATTCTATAAAAGAATTGCAGTAAAGTCATCTTGTAAAGCTAAATAAATACCTGCATCTCATTTTTTATGTCTCCTTTTGCAACCTAAATCAGTACTATGTAGTATTGGTGGTGATATGGTCCACATTTAATTTTTGGTCATCAAATAAAATAACAAGAAAGGTCGGTACTGTTATTCTTCCAAATCACTATTCAGTATTCTCTAACTGTGGGTAGACAAGGATATAAATTATACCACACACAATTCTTGTAACTCTGTGTACACATGAGTATTAATTTGCTTGTAGGAAAAAAAACAGGTGTTCTGTAAAGACACATACTTTTCAAAAGGTCAGTCGTGACTGTGTCTCTGCTGAGAACAAGCAACACGTTTTTAACCACATTTATCAAAGCAGGCAAAATTTTTCTGTTAGTAAAATCTAAACATATGACAGATGTGGCATCTCCATATCTCTGTAAATATAAATCTGATAAAATATTCAGTGCTCAATCAATGCAAGGCTTATGTAGTGTTCTTTAAATGGAAATCTGTCTTGTTGTAGGGTTAGCTTGCCTACTTTCCCATTTGGAATACTGTCTCATCTTTCTGATCCAGCATTACATCTCTCTGCAATTGTTTTGGAGAAATACGGCGATAATAGGGATAATCAGATGACGAAGTACATTTAGTGGGGGCCGACAGCCACCATGGGGCCCTGGGGCAAGGTGTAGGGCAGGGCTACTCAACTTTGGAAGCTCTGGGGGCCAGAATGATACTCTTAACACATGCCGAGGGCCGCAACTTAAGTGTGGCTGCATATACATTCAAATATATATGCAAATAGCTTCTTTAACAGTGACTGGCATGGATACAAAAATGAAGACAAGACTATGTCACATCGCAGCCTAGTTTCCTCAGGACTGAAATATTTTGGTGGTGATTGTGTTTAGTGTATGGGTGTTGGAGGCCTGTGAAGTACCAAAAGTCAGACCACTTCTGGTGGTCCCTTCTGGCCTCAAACACTCTGAATGAATGTTGTTTGTTTGTAATTGTTTTCAAGATGGGGAAGAATGGTTCAAAGTATATGGATCTTGCCGTAAATCTTCCTTTCCCCTTTATTCTGTGCATCTTTTCCTTGAACAACATCAGAGCTGTTGTTTTTTCATTGCAATAAATTTAGCTGTCTAATGTTTTGTTTTTCAGAGCACATTCTGCTGTTAATGAATGTGATAATTTACATAGTGTCACTGTAGTATTGGCGTGGTAAATAATTTAGCGGGTTGTGGCAGGTAGATAGCTCTGAATTGTCTGTGTTACTATGGTAATACATTTGCTTAATGCAAATATTAGTCATTCTGACCATATGCATCTCTGGGCTTGTCACGTTATTTATTGGCCTTAATTTTTAGGGAGGTTGGAGGAGGGAATCTGCTTTGTAGCAATTTATTTTCAAAGCTAGTAGTCTTGTCCGGGTGGGTTAAATTTACTTACTGCCCATAGGACAAGTAGTTGACCTGCAGTTAGTGTTTTTTCTCATTTTCCTTCTCACTCACTGGCTACCACATATTCTAATATTTTTTTTTTTTCACACACCAGTCTGCGCTGGAAAGGAGAGAAGGGTTGTTTTGGAAATATTAGTTTAGAACCATATCTCTCCCCCCCCCCCCCTTCCCTTCACTTCCTGGCTGAGTTAAATGCTTCTAGTAAGCAGAAGGCTTAAAACAACAACAAATTGCAATCTAGCACAGTCATAATAATGAAATAGGATTTGCTTCCTTACCCCACCAACTCAAACTGGTTTTTCAAAGGAGGAGCCTAAGGGTATGAATTTCTTGAGGCCCCTGATGCTTGTCTTTGGTCAGGAACCTGCTTCAGCAGGTCTGAAAAAAAGAGGAAAATAATTTGATCTTAAATCAAACATCTAGAAGGGTTAACTATAAAGGGCTATTACAGAGATGAAATATGACTGGACACACATCTTACTGATTCTGGGAGCTCTGACTTGTTGACTTCAAAGGTTGATCATGAAAATGGCCTCCAGCTCCTTTGCAGATGTCAGCAAATATGGAAAATTATTTTAGCAGATGAGATGACTAAAATAATATTTTCTATCTGCATAGGTAATTCGGATAGCTGGCAGGAACCATATTTTAAAAATCTTCATGTAGAAGGGCCTCAAACCTTTCAGATTAAGTTGAGTTCTGTTTTTCTAACAAAGATTCAGACACTTACATAAGGAGGACAAACTTTAACAGAGACACTTTGTCTTGGGCACAATCTTCCTACCTATTCCTAATCATATGGAATAACCACATTCTTTCCTGCCAGTGATTGTATAACTATATCAGTGGTAACATGGAAAAAGTATTTCTCTCTCACACACACTCACTTTTCTGACTACAGTGCCATAATCAGAATAAACCTTCAGTTTCCATCATGTTTTCTTCATTTTACTTGTTAATCAATTTAGCAGCTTATCAATTCTTGCATGAAAGTTTATTGCCCTGTTTGTTTCTTTGCGTTGTAATCACTACTGGCCAAGGAAGCAATAAAACATACAATTTAAAAGAACGGGATAACTGGGCCAAATCCAAAGGTGTTGAGCTGTACATTTTAACAGATGCAATGGTGTGGGTGTGTGGTTTTTTTTTGTTTTGTTTTTAAGTGCGGTGAACTAAATCCATGATGTTGGAGAGCTCAGCCACTACTAGAGTTTGGTCCATTAATAATCAGGAAAGAAATAATAAAAGTAGCGAAACACAGACATGGAGAGGTTTTTGGATTGCATAGTAGCATCTGCAATCAGTGGTTAGCCTGTCGTCTTTGTTTTTTTTCTTTCCTTCTGTCTGTATGATGATGGAACACACTGTTAGTGTCTGGGTGTACGGTAAATGCGGTTACTGGATAGAATACAAAATAAGAATCTTCAGCAGCAGTGTTGTAGAACTGAAGCTCAGGAATACCAATCTGGAATTTAAGTAAACCTGGGGAAATTAATAATTGAGCAGTTAAGTTGAAACTCTCCTTGACTGAGAGACATGTGGGAATACTTGGGGTTTTTTATATACTTGGAGTTTTATAGATATAGGGAAGCAGGGAAGAATTTGGATGCTTAATGTACATTGAAACATAGAATAATTGGAGCAACTTTTCTCATGATTCTTTCTTAGTAAACAAAATATGATTTATAAAATGATTTTTACATAACTGCATACACTCCCATTCAATTTATTGTAAGAAAATATATAAAATCTCTTTTCTCCTGTGTGGGAGTCCCCTTTGTAGAGGAGTGGAAACTTGGCTTTTTGTCCTTTTGAATTTATCTCGAGGGGATACAGAGGACAAAATACATTCCCGGTGGGAAATTTTCAGAGGATCAGGAGAAAGCAGGGGCTGCTGCAAGGGCAGCACTCATGCACACCCAGTCTCACTGAAGATCAGCAAGTGCAGGCTTGCCTCTGCTCATGAGACTGCAGAAGTATGTAGGGGCTTTAAATCATACAGTGTTTACTTTTTTGAGATTCACTGAATTTTTTTGCTGGTACTGTTGACATACGGACTGCTCATGTTTTAAACCAGGACTGAAGGAAAAAGAATGGATTGTATTACAAACTGACTGTTAAAACCAGTGATAAATTGAAAGAACAAAAATGCATTTAAAAAAGCAGTGTGATTTAATGCTTCACATATAACTTGCTCTGCTAGTTATTATTGTAATTTTCTAAATGCTTTTTTTCTCCCTTTTTTTGAACAGTGGTAAATTATTTTTGATCTGTTTCCTTTTTTCCATGCCTCCTAATGGAAATTTGATTTATGGTGGCACATTGTAAGTAAAAAAGTTGTGTGAGTGTGTGTTTGACCTTTTGAAAGGTGAGTGGTGGCTGCCATGTAATACTTTCCTACTAATTAATCAGATGATTCAGGACTGGACTAATATCTGGCTATTGTGCATGTGTGAGCAGGGGAGAGGAGTGCATGGACTGCCACCCTTTGCTCTTGCCCATAACGGGAGTTCCTTCACTACCTGAATACAGGGATTGTGCTGCCAGCGGCGCATCCTGTCCCGCCAGGGCATGAGTATGCAGCAATTAATACCCCATGCCTGGCCTGTGCCAGCTGATATGGACTCATGGGGCTCAGGCTAAGGGGCTGTTTAATTGGGTATAAATGTTCAAGTTCAGGCTGCAGTCCAAGCGCTCGAAACCCTCCCACCTTGCAAAGACAGAGCCTGGGCTCCACCTGAACCCAAATGTCTATGCAGCAATCAAGCAACCCGTTGGCCTGAGCCTTT